AAAAATAAAAAAAATCTGTTTTCCATAAAGATTAGATAGAACAAAAGTATTTAATGTGCCTCGGGCTAAAACTGTGTGGTACTAAAACTTGGGACTGTGTGAGAGCTGTTTCTTAGTACTAAAGACAAAATTTCATACTATCATCCACTCACTGTATTCCAGCATGTGCAGATGGCATAAACAACAAAACTGCCAGAAGACACACCTGGCTCAAACAATTGTATAGTCCTGAGCTCATGAATTCCTCTGCAGTGGTTCAAATTAAACAATCATAAAAGTACCTGCACCCACACCATGTCATTCTATCAAAGACATTTCCCCCTGGTAAATTTATCTGTTCCAAAAAAGTCCAGACAACAGCATTATCAAAGCCCATACAAATAGTTGCTGTTCAGTGTGCCACCCAAAGGCAGATGTCTCCTTCAAAATCAGATGGTTTATGTTTGGTTTCAATGTTACCTAATTTTGCTAGACAATTCTTCTCTTGCTGTTTCGTTATCCTGGGCAATGCTCCACTCAAACATCATCCCTGCCAAACTACTAAAAGTATTTCCTATAAAGCAAGCCAAAAGCAGACAGGACAGAATCACATATTCAAAAATATTCAGGTATCTTTAACAAGAAAGAGAAACCTACCTAGAAAATTATATTTAGGCCTCCTTCATTAACAAATAGAAGCACTACCATTAAGAATTTAAAACACATATACCAGGAAGATCCCTACACAAACAATAAAAGTACTGTTGCTACACAAACTTTCTGAATGCAGAAAAGACTCAAGCTGATTAACTTCTGGCTGACAAAAGTTATGCCTTCTACATAAAGGCCACCATATAGTCTACCTCAGGGTTGACAGGCATCCTTAAATCCTGGTCCCTTCAACAAAAATTTTTATGAAAACTAGATTCCAGAATATTTCTAATATTCATTGTTCAGATTTAAAAAAATTATCATTTACAATGGTTTACAAAGAAAGTGGCAATAAATTTAAATGTTTTAAATACCATATTACACATTAATATGGTACACTAAAAGCAATATAAAATCTGTCTCAAGAAAGATAAAATTATAAATTTTTTTCAAAGGTTAACACATAATTCCCCTGGCTATAGAAAGTGGACTGACCAAAACAGAGCTAGTAATAAATTCCACACAAATGTTCTTAATGGCTGATCTAGGGACCATCAGCAGAAGCTCCGGATATTTAAGAAAACTTCTGAGATAACCAATAATTAAATATAGCAGAAAAATTTTATGAAAGTATGTAGCTAATACATTGAACCATACTCATAATTATCAATTCCTCATGTACATGAACTTCATATAAAAAAATAAATACTATTTCTAATCTACTTTTATCTCTCAAGTTGCTTTTTTTCCAAGTACTAAACACAAAGGAGTATTACTTTATTTTAGGTAATTTTGTTGAATCTTCTGAGTCCCTTACCTTCAGCATCCAATGCCCTCACCATCAGTTCCAGTGGTGAATCATCTACATAGAGTTCCCGGGTTCGAGATATAATTTCAATGCTGTCTATCACATCAACCTTAACATCACAGCGCAGTTCATGGTCAGTCACTATGATGAACCCAAAAACTTAGAATTTAATTCAATAGGTCATGAATCTATTAAATGTCTCAAACACTCAAAAGCTTATTCTATATTATAAAAAAGAAAGGCTATAACAGTTGCTTTCAACCTGTGGAAGAAAAGAGCATAATGAAAAATTCAAAAGTCTGTTTATAAGGGACAACAGACCAGGGCGCCTGGGTGGCTCAGTTGGTTAAGCATCTGCCTTCGGCTCAGGTCATGATCCCAGACTCCTGGGATCGAGTCCTGCATCGGGGTCCCTGCTCAGCGGGGAGCCTGCTTCTCCCTCTGCCTCTCTCTCTCTCTCTGTCTCTTATGAATAAATAAATAAAATCTTAAAAAAAAAAAAAGAGACAACAGACCAGTCATTCTCAAACACTGATCTATAATAATATTTTCATTCATCCATGGAAAAATGAGAAAGGTAAGAATCTTAACATAATGAGTAATAAAATTAAATGTATTCACTTTGAAGGAATATATTTTAGGGGTACCTGGCTAGGCCAGTCAGTGGAGCATGCAACTCTTGATCTTCGGGTTGTGAGATTGAGCCCCACACTGGTAGAGATTACTTAAAAATAAAATCTTAAAAAAATAATAAAGGAATATACTTTATTATTATATTCTGAGCTTTGAAGTATTAAAGTTTTTTCTCTTATGAAATTATGGCATTAGATTTTTTTTAATGTATTTGTTTCAGAAAGTAAAAGGGTGACAACCGTATGTCAGTCCTACCAATAAATTTTTCTCTCTCAGGTTAAAAAGCCTGGCAACAATGTATTAGACCCAACCAGAGCTCTGGTCAATATAGCCACAGTGAACTTCAGAAACACAAAAAGAAACAGTATAGAATGAAATGAGGATGAAATAAAAACTGTTTTGTACTATCTTTTAACAATAACCCCACCTCTCATATTTACCATGTGTTAGAGAACTGCCTACATAGCTGTCTCATTCTGCTGTTATAACTGTATATTTTGTTACTTTTAGCTTCATCTACAAGAAACAAAAGCAAAGTAACTACCACTGCAATACCCAAAATTACCAATGGACATCAAGGGTAAACCCTGTTCCTAGCTGTGGATCCGCTTTTATGGAATTTTTATTTATTTTTATTTTTTAAAAAATATTTATTTATTTATTTGTCAGAGAGAGAGAGTGCACACAAGCAGGGGAATGGCATGCAGAGGGAGAAGCAGGCTTCCCGCTGAGCAGGGAGCCTGATGCAGGGGCTCGATCACAGGACCCTGGGATCATGACCTGAGCTGAAGGCAGACGCTTAACCGACTGAGCCACCCAGGCAGCCCTACTGTGGAGTTCTGATGGTGATTTTCTATTTCCCTAATCCTTTCCACACTTTAATAGCATTCTTCTGTAAGGAAGGTAACTTATATCTTACAAACAAGTTCTCATTTATTTATTTATTCATCATTTATGTAAGTATTGACTCATGGATATTTATTTTTGGTTTATAATCCAATACTATCATAATTTATTTTGTTACTCCAGTTTTTCTAGCTTTGGCCATTAGGAACTCTTTCAGGTTGACTCCTGTGTCCTTTGGGCTTGCCCCATCTTAATTAAGTAATTAGTTGTAGTACTTCCTTACTTTCTAGCCCTATAAGATGAGCCAGGCCCATCTTGTATTTTCTCCCACCCAGCTATTTCCTCAAGGAGTCCTGGTTCTTTCTGTTAGAGAGCTGTATTTAGAAACCAAGATCTGCTGCTAGTGTGCTTGCTGCTAGTACTGTGACTGTCCCTTGGCCCTCTCAGCAGACAGTGCAAGGAAGTATATGTATATACACATATCTGTATTTCTATGTCTATTTTTCTGTGTATATATTAATGTAAACATGAAATCATAGTGATATCTTTGGTTCTAATCTTGCACCACAGTGTAATTCTTTTCTCTGGTAACGAGAAACCTGACACTCAGTATCTACAGTGTATTTACTTATTTGTTGAACCCCAGTGTAAATATAGTTTCAGGATGATTAAGTCAGTTTTTGTGTTTCTTGTGAAAGGAAGTATAGCTTTGCCTGAAATAGAGCATATTTTGATGCTCCTTGGCCTTTTTTGAGGGGCGCTTGCCTATATTACCTGATTAACATTTTCCTTCGATTTAAAAATTCCATAAAAGAAGGGATGCCTGGGTGGAAACTGTCATAGTCACAGGAGATGAAGGAAACACAATAATGTAGTTTAGTAATGTGGTGTCTTGAATTAAATCCTAGACCAGAAAAAGGACATTAGTGGAATATTAAGAAAACTGGGTCAAGAGTATATGGGAACTCTTTGTACTATCTTTGCATTGCTTCTGTAAATTTAATATTATTTTAAAAGAAAATATTTTAAAAATTTAGTTGATTAATCTTTTACTTAATATTTAATTGAACAGAACCTGAAGTTAAAAGAAATGAAGAATGGGAAGCCTGGGTGACTCAGTTGGTGAAGTGTCTGCCTTCAGCTCAGGTCATGATCCCAGGGTCCTGGGATCAAGTCCCGCATCAGGGTCCTTGCTCAGCAGGGAGCCTGCTTCTCCCTCTGCCTGCCGCTCCCACTGCTTGTGCTCACTCTCTCTGTCAAATAAAGAAATAAAATCTTAAAAAAAAAAAAAAAAGAAAGAAATGAAGACCAAAATACAGGAGCTATCATTAAGAACGAAGAGAAGCTGAAATCTCACGGGATCTGCTGGTAAAACATACTATTAAGGAAGTGTTCCAAGGATGGCAAAGGAAGGAAGGGTGACCTTACATAATATATACTAGATAATTAGGCACTGGATAACCTAATTAAACAGGAAATTAAATACTTTTCTTCTGTGGAGAAATACATAGGGCAATCATAGGACAGAAGTAGCTGTGACCTTACATAAAAATATGAAAAGCCTTGTGCGCGCAAAGACTACCCATCTAACCACTTCAATAGCAATAAGCTTTTCAATACATGGCCATCGACCATAAAGAAAAAAATTACCTTGTATGAATTATAGGTAAATTTAGAGTGATTAAGAGAAATACCATACCTTCAATTTACCTCCTTTTTTTTTTTTTTTAATTTTTAAGCAGGTTTTTTTTTTTTTTTTTGGACAAGGAAAGGTAAGGGGAGGGGCAGAGGGAGCGAGAGAAAATCTTAAGCAGGCTCCACGCCCATGCGGAGCCTGACAGGGGCTCCATCTCACAACTCTGAGATCATGACCTGAGCCAAAATCAAGAGTCAGACACTTAACCAACTGAACCACCCAGGTGCTCAACTTACCTCTAAAGATAAAAATGAATAACTTTAGGGGCACCTGGGTGGCTCAGTCGGTTGAGCAGCTGCCTTCGGCTCGGGTCGTGATCCCGGGGTCCTGGGATCGAGCCCCACATTGGGCTCCCTGCTCAGCGGGAAGCCTGCTTCTCCCTCTCCCACTCCCCCTGCTTGTGTTCCCTCTTTCACTGTCTCTCCCTCTGTCAAATAAATAAATAAAATCTTCTAAAAAAATGAATAACTTTATTAAATAATATAATGAGTTTTCTTATCTACATGTTTATATTACTTCAGGTATACTTCAGGTCCACACAGGAGCAAGGTAATAAAGAAAGAAAAACGAATGAAATAGAGAGGACGAGAGTTGATCCAGGGAGATGAATTAGGAAGAAGAAAAAAATAAAGAGAATGAAACCAGTACTGCAAGAACCAAAGGGATGCAGAGCCAGGAGCAAAAGAGAGGGAGCAGAAATGGCAAATATTTCCTGCCTTCCCTGATTCTCATATTTATCCTAGCTTCCAAATCAACTCCTCTTGTTTATACAATTATATTCCACTGTAGCAACTAATCAACCTGTAAGTATTTATGGAACATCAACAACATGCTGAGCATACCACAATAAGTACGGATCACCCTATATTCCTCTCACCCTGCACCAAAATCATCCAGTTATTCAAACCCTTTCTTCCTCTTCCATGTCAGCTAAAATCAGGCCTTCATCTCTAAACTCCTCCACTTGTCCTTTACCTAAGGTTAAAAATCTAGATTTCCCACTAGAAAAAGGGCATATTCATATATTTAGACTGCCTCTGAAGGATACAGAAAAGTGACTCTCTCCTGGAGAAAGATTAAAGGCTTACTTTTCACTATATAACCTTTTATATTCTTTGAAGGTTTTACCAAATGAAGTAGCACCTAGTCAAAGCAAAACAAAAATCAAAAGAAATGTAGCATTCTTACCAAATAAAACAAGCCCCCTAGAGTCTATCATTTCTATCCATCATCTACATCACAGCCACTAATTTGCTTCACTACAGTGTTGACAAAAACATCATAAAATTCTAAGTACCTAAATACCAATGGAGTGCTTAAATCTTCCTATCTTTACAGACACCTTACAGTTACTAGGCATTTCAATAAATATTCATCAAATGAATGAACAATCTCTCTTAGGCATATGCTTGCCTTTCACAATGTCCTCTCCCTCTCCCACCCCGCCCTTTCAGAGTGGTCTTTTCCACTCAGATGAGAATGTTACCTGGTAGAACACTGAAACTGGCATTTATTATTGAGAGTTTAGCAAAATTGGGAAAGCTGATTTAAAAGATACTTAACTTTGGAATACTTATAAGTCAGATAAAATTAAGCTGAGAGCCAGATTTGACATTTTTCCTAGCAATTGTGTAAATGTATCTTTTTTTTTAAATGTATCTTTTGATATCAGAGTGAATTCATGTAGTTAAAAGTAATTACATTTAAAAATTGCTTACGTGACCAATACGATTCTTCTTTTCTAACCTTCTCTATTGTAGCTGCCCTATAAGACATGTTCCTCAAATATTCTCACCTTTGAGAGTCCTCATACCATATTTCACTGATTCTAAGACAGTTTTTGATATTTTAACATCTCTGAAATTGAGTTTTATCTTATAACTGATGACATCTTTCACTTGCTGTCAGCCAGGCAGCAGTCACGACATAGTTGTGATTGATTGCATATGTGAGAACATTAAAAGGCCAGCATCAAAACTTGTAGAATGGATATTAGTGGTAGGAAGAAAATCTGGTGGCCAATAGTGACACTCTTTAATCTCCTGGGAATCAAATGATTAAGGAGATGGGGTGAGAAGGGTAGTAGCTCAGATGTGCCGGGCACTTTTCCATAACTAGAAAAAAACCCCACAACATATCCATATAATTGCAAAGCTAACTTAAGAGCCCAATATTATAGCTTTTAGGGGTTTTTTTTTAAGTTTTATTTACTTAAGTAATCTCTATACCCAATGTGGGACTCAAACTCACAACCCCGAGATCAAGAGTTACACATTCTTGGGGCGATTGGCTGGCCCAGTTGGTGGAGAATGTGACTCTTGATCTAAGAGTTATGAGTTCCAGCCCCACTTTGGGTATAGAGATTACTGAAAATTAAAATCTTAAAAAAAAAAAAAAAAGTTACACACTCTTCCAACTGAGCTAGCCAGGTGCCCCAGCTTTTACATGTTTTGTTTTTAATTGATTCTTTTAAGAAATACTGCATCCATAACAGTCTTACTGGCACAGAGGAAGATATTGTGGGGATAAACACAGACACTGATGATTCCCAGTGAAAAAGTGTTTCATCTGAGACAGAAACACTATGGTAGTTTTAGAAATATCTTAGCCAGTTTATTTTATTTATATTTTCCTTTTTATTAGGCATGAGAGTGAAACATAATAAAAATAACCATCTAATTAAGTCTTAGTTCTTCTGTAGGTATAAAATAGAAATTCTAAGCGAAGAAAAGCATAGTTTAGTTGGCTATGTTTATCTTAGTGGTACATTAAAAAAAAACAGCTTTATACTACATGGCATCTTCAATCATATGAAATATGGTATACCAAACAACTTTAACTTCTTTTTAATAACATAGTATAGATGTATCATTTATCAAAATATTTATAAAACTATACAGGTATTTCTGGCCTATCAATGTAGCAATGAAGTGCCAGAAACTCTGGGATACAAAAAGCCTTGCTTTGATTTTGGATACAAATAGGATTTCTCCAGCTGCTCTAATCTAAAAAAGACTGGTGCAGTGCTTCCAGACTTTAGTAATGCATGAGAATCACTGGAGAGCTTGTTAATTCCCTGGACCCATTCCTGAGATTCTAATTCAGCAGAACTGAGATGGGGTCTGAGAATTTACATTTTTCTTTCTTTCTGGCATCTCACAGTTACATTTATTCACACCACACAGGAAACAACACATCTACAAGTGTACAGCAATGCTCCATGTTCCCACCTAACAGAGATTGCTGAGATTTACAGCCAAAATGACATTCCATCTGTACTCTAAGTAAAGCTGGTCAATGATGACTATGAGCAGGTGCAGGACTCGAAGTTTTCAAAGCTTTACTTCTTTTATCAGCAATCCTGATTTTATGAACGATGAAGCCCATGAACTCCATTCCTACCCGAATCTGGTAAAGTTGGGTAGAGCAGGGCCTCATGGGGACCCGAACATTTTTAACAAGGCTTTGAATCATCTCAGCACAGGACCCCTAACTCAGGCTGCCCCAACCCGCACGGCCAATGACTCGGAAAGGTCACCAAGTACACTCTTTTCCCTTCAAGGTTTTATATTTAAATAATCTCTACACCCAGGGTGGGGCTCGAACTTCCAACCTAGAGATCAAGAGTCGCATGCTCCACCAACTGAGACAGCCAGGCACTCCAAGGATTTACATTTCTAGGATTCCAAGTGATACTGATGCTGCTGATGACACAGGTTCACAGACCACACTCTAAGAAGTACTAGCTTTTTTAGTTCCTTTTGCCTTACTCAAGACCCACCTCAGACCTTAACACCTAAGCTAGTTCCAATAAATAATTCCTTCTTTTCTTCAAGGATTCAAAAAAACTAGGGTTTCTACTCTGTCTCAGGCACCACGCCAGGTACTAGATATATTAAAAAAGTTGGGGGCGCCTGGGTGGCTCAGTTGTTAAGCGTCTGCCTTCGGCTCAGGTCATGATCCCAGGGTCCTGGGATCGAGTCCCGCATCGGGCTCCCTGCTCTGCGTGGAGCCTGCTTCTCCCTCTCCCACTCCCCCTGCTTGTGTTCTCTCTCTTGCCGTGTCTCTCTCTGTCAAATAAATAAATAAAATCTTAAAAAAAAAAGTCACAGAATAGGACGCCACAATTAGGGTTATTCTGCAGATTGCTTTTTTTCTACTTATCATTTGAAGCCAACACCATTTGTATTAATCAGATTATTCTACTCTAGATGAACGATTTCACAATGTGTTTTCTCTCAACATACCTATCTCTCGAGCAAGAATAATGCTGCTGAGGCGTATCGGTTGGGTAGATTCAGCAATGAGCATAGCTTTTTGAGAACATAAGGTGCCATTTTCATATAAAGGCTCAACAGTTACTGCATCATGATGGGTGGAATGCCTGTCAAAATAAAATACTTAAGAGTTTGAAATAAGACTGTGGGTTAAAATGAACTTTCAGGAGAACACAGATTCTTATAGTTTTTCCATGTTACACATTACCTGGTGTATTTAAATGACACTCTTTAAAGTAGAAACCATGCTTAGAGACACAGGATTTCAGTGAGACTGATCAGAACCTTTTCCCAGTGATCCCTTGTGCAATATTACACATGTATTATATTCCTCCCTTGATATTTAAAATAAGATTGCAGGGGCGCCTGGGTGGCTCAGTTAAGCGTCTGCTTTTGGCTCAGGTCATGATCCCAGGGTCCTGGGATCGAGCCCCGCATAGGGCTCTCTACTCTGCGAGGAGCCTTACTTCTCCCTCTGCCCCCTGCTCTTGCTCTCTCAAATAAATAAAATCTTTAAAAAATAAGATTGTTCCATTCTTCCCTCAGTATGTAAAAACAGGATTGATGGGGGTGCCTGGGTGACTGGGTTAAGCCTCTGCCTTCAGCTCAAGTTATGATCTCAGGGTCCTGGGATCAAGCCCCAAATCCAGCTCCCTACTCAGCGGGGAGTCTGCCTCTCCCTCTCCCTCTGTGCATGCACACGTGCTCTCTCTCCCTCCAATAAATAAATAAAATCTTTAAAAAAAAACAAAACAAAAAAACGGACTGATGTTTTGTTTCCAATAATGAGAGACACACATTTCTCATACTGTGAGGAATGAGTTTTGTCCAATCTTAAAACTGGGCTGCCAAGACAGAAAAACTGCCTAAATTATGAGGTGTGAGTGCAACTCAAAATACAACTTAAAAAAATGTTTTGGGGCGCCTGGATCCCTCAGTTGGTTATGCGTCTGCCTTCGGCTCAGGTCATGATCCCAGGGCCTTGGGATCCAGCCCAGGGATCGGCTCCCTGCTGAGCAGAGTCTGCTTCTCCCTCTGCCGCCCCCCCTGCTTGTGCTCTCTCCCCCAAATAAGTAAGTAAAATCTTTAAAGAACAGAACAGTTAATGCTTTGGCTTTGGACGGTGAGATCCCGTGCACCGCCCACACGGGGTCATCTTCCAGGCCCGACCCCCTTACCCCGCCACACAGCGGCGGCTGAACTTCTCTCACTCCGCACAGCCTTACGGCCTCCCTCGGGAAACAGGGAAGGGCAATCTAGCCCTGTGATGCGGCGGCGCCCACTTGCCCTCGGAGTGGAGGAAGCTCCCCAACACGCCCTCACACCGGCGGCAAAGCGCTCCCCCAGGCAGGCCTCCTCTCCCCCCGAAGCGAGTCTCCCCACTTCACGGTCTCGGGGCCTCACCTCGCTCCTCGGTGAAATGGGGGTGCAGGAACTCACCCCACAAGGCCGTGAGCGGCGTCCCGAGCCCCTCGGGAAGAAAGCCCCAGCTTACCCGTCGCTGAGGACCCCGCGGCCAACCCCAAGCCCCGCCCCCCGGACGCCTCCTCAGGCCGTGCGGGGACGCCTCCCGCCCCAGAGCTGCCCCACAGGAAAGGCGCTGCGGTGGCATCCTCGTCGAGGGAAGCCCGCCCACCCCTGCAGGGCCGAGGGGGGCGCGAAGTCTCGGGGACCCCACCCCTCACCAGGTGTAGCAGCCCCGCTGCGCCTCCAGCAGGAAGGGCACGCGGCCTGGCTCCCGGCCGAAGGGGAGCAACACCTGCGGCACGTTGAGTTTGTTGGCCAGGGCCCCAAGCCAACACTGAAGCAGCAGCGCGACGCCGGGTGCAGGCCAGCCGACAAACGGCCGGCCGCGTGGGAGACGCGGGGCCCCAAAGCCCGTCATGGCGACCACCCGCTCTCCAGTTCCCGCTCTTCTACGGCCGAGGCCCGGCCCCCAACGCCGGCCAATCCGCGGGCGCGACGTCGCGGGAGGCGGGGCCTCCTCCTGGCTGGGAATTGTGGGAGTTCCTCCAGGGAGTGCTTGTCGCGGCTGCGCGTGGAAAGGGCGCGAGGCGAGCCCGGCGCGAGGCGAGCCCGGCGCTCGGAGGGCAACTTCCCGAGAACTTCTCAGGCAGCAGATCTTTTTCACGGTAAAGAAGCACAACATCTAAGACGTGCTAACTTCTCCCAGTTTAATTTCTTCTGCTGCCTACCTTGTGTTCGGTTCCTAGCCAAAAATGTGTTTTGCCGTAATTTCCAAGCAGCATTGGTCCGTGCCTGTAAATGGAACCAAGTTTCCCAGTCCCAGTGTAAATAAAAATGTAATATAAATAAAAATTTCCCAGTATAAAGACTGGACTTGGCCGAGGAAGCTGTGTCGTTTCTACGAGGAAGGCACGCGCGTGTCCAGCCTCCAGGCCAGAGCGCGGGCGATGCTCGGCATGTGTCCCCGGCAGCCGCCGAGGCTACCCACTCGCCCTGCCGCTGTCGCCAGACACTCGGAGCACGCTGCGGGTTCGCTTGTTTCCTCCAAAAGGCAGCGGAGTATCAAGTACCAGCTCAGAGGCCGTCGCAGGGCAGTCACGGAGGGCATGGGATCAGCGTCAGATTGCTGAAGTCCTTTAAGGAGCCCCGAGTCCGTGGTTTGTAAGAATCATCACCGTGGTAAAGGAAAAGGTACAGCTCGCCCTGAACGTGCCAGTGCTAAGTTAATCTGTAAGAGGCCTGGCACGTAACTATTATCTCTACTGCTCACACTTACCCTGGAACACACAGTATCTTTATTTTACAGATGGGGAAACTAAATTATTTACATCAGGACATACAAGTACGAATCTCTGAGCTGAGTTTCGAACCCAGTTTTGGTCTGCTTCCACAGCGTGTCATCTCTACTAAATCCTGTTGCTACCACCCACAAAGATCTGATTTTTCACTCAAACTGCATAGTTCCTGTGGAGAAAGCACAACGGGATTAGTAAATAAAAGTCAAGTAGGTCTAAGGATTAGAGGGACTGGTTCTTTATTTCAAAAAGACACTTGTCAATTTTCAGTATCAAAACAGTTTGCACTATTGGTTTCTTTCTCCCAATCGGCCCCCAGAGAGCACACCAAAGGAGAGTGCATTTTAAGCCAATAAGCTGCAGGATGCACACCTAACAGGCCTCACAGAAACCTCACCAAAAAGGGGAATTGGGGAGGGAAAGAAACTTTAAAAGATCAGCACACTGTCAGCCCACAGACTGTAGAGAGTTCTTAGCCAGACAGGGTGGCCAATGTGCCCCAACCCTAAAGAAGCAAAGTTTCAAAATAATATAAAATTTAAAAACAGTTTTGTACATAATCTATTCAAGATTTCTCCAGCACTAACTGATACAAAGCACAAGATGGCACTTCAGAGACAGCAGCTTTGGACCCAGCAAAGGGTGATGAGATGAGTTTGTTTCATATGGCTAAATCAGTGGCAAACACATAATTTTCTTTTTTTCCTTCAAGGAGGCAGGAGAGAAAATAAGCTGTCACCTCAACATAAAGGGAACATGATCAATTCCGTGGGCAGTTAGGGTAAAGATAGGATAAGGATTTGGTCTCAGACAGAGGTCTCACCATCTTAATTTGTTTGGTCACTTCTGATGGAAAAAAAAAAAATTAAAAAATAAAGTTGCTCAAAGATACCTTAAAGCTGAAACCCTGAGCCACACTTTTTTGGCCACTCCTCCTGGAATCACCTTTCTAATCTGGCTGGTACTTTGGACAAAGCAATGAAGCTTCCCAGAGTGGGTCTCTTTCCGGGCTCTGGCTCTCAGTAAGGCAGGCCCCTGCCTCCTCTGTGGAGAGGGCAGTATGCACTAAACTGAAAAGTTACTTTCCAAATGTGAGGAAGGGAACAGACTGCTGCTTCAGAACTGTGGAATTATTTGGAATGTTTTACAAATGGTTGCTACATCAACAACAAAAAAAGGTAATTACAAAATGTGTACATCACAACATGCTTTTAAAGACACTTTGCATTGTGCTCACATTCCCTTAAACATTGTTCCCAAAGGTGCTCAGCCTCAAGCCCAACTGGAATCTCTAGGGAGAGGCAGAGACAGTTCGGCGAAAAAGACACAGGGGTTGGGGTGGGAGAGGCGGCAAAAGGAGAAAGCAGCCTTCCAGTTAAAGATCAGCCCTCGGTTTCAAGGCCAGCTTCGGGCAGGCTGGCCTCAGCGGAGTCAGGATCAGAGGGAGGAGCAGCGGCAGGGCGGGACTGGGGTGCTCTACATCTCATTCAGGTCAAGCAGAGTCTGGTCCAGCATCCTTTGTGTACAGAGGTGCTCCTCTTTGGTGCATTTCAGCTTATCTAATGGGGGTAAAGGAGAGATGTTACAAAACTAGAAGTAAATGTCAAGGTCTACCCACTCTGAGAATCACTCCTGCTGCAGGCAAGCTGCGGACTAACAAAGCGGCTGCCTTCTCAGACACAGGCGTGAGCCACTGCACCATTTGCTTCTGCAGGGCCTCTGGTTTTCCAGCTGGAGTTGTAGGTGTTGCTGTACTTCTGGGGGAGGAGGCTGGAGACCTTATCACTCATTTCCTCATTCACCCACATCCAACCAAGGCTTTCAGTTTTCAGTCACTGAAGGAGGAAGCCTTAAGCATCAGCCATCCTTTCTTCTGGGCTTTGCCCAAAGGACAGTACCTACTTGACAAGGCTCACTGGGGTGTGACCACTGAGAACAAGGATGGGCATGTTCCTACCAGTAAAAACAGAGTCTCAGCCTGAGAAGGGTACAAGAGGAACCTCATGTGTTATAGGCTTCCTCCAACACGGAAAGGAACAATTGGTGGGATAAATGAAAGACCCCCATAGCCTATCACAGAATCACTAAAGAACACAAAGCCAAGAATAAACCAAACATATAAGCAAAACCTCAACTGCGATTTTTGTAGAGCTATTCTCCAAAACTAGCCTGTGAGAGTTACTTACAATTACACATGGAAAAAGAAGCAAGAAGAAAAATGTCAGGAAGGAAACCAGTGGCTTGAACAGCAAGGAGAATCTAATCTGCTCAGCAAGCAAACCACTCAGACTACTCTGGTGGCAAGGGGCAAATACTCAACATGGAACTGTTAATACCCCATACCCCTTTCTTTCCCTTCCCTTTTTTCCACCCAGTCAGAAGGGCCCATCTCTGGGCCTGCAGATGAAGCAGTCACGACATCTTATCCAATTGGTCCTTTTATTGTTAGAAAACATCCACGCAGGCGGAACACAGCCTTCAGTCAATGCACAGGTTAAAGAGCAGCAAGTAAGGGTGGACACCAGAAAACTCTCCAGGTTCCTCACTATGATCTCTCAGGCCCCTCCCTTCATCACCCGTTATCTCTTGAAAGGGACAGAAATGCAGTGTCAACTGTTCTCACTCTCCAGTACGATTAGGAAGTCAACAATATTCTCACTGCCCCAATTAAAAAGCAACTTGTGGGGCGCTTGGGTGGCTCAGTCGGTTAAGCATCTGCCTTCCGCGCAGGTCACGATCTCAGGGTCCTGGGATCGAGTCCTGCATTGGGCTCTCTGCTCAGCAGGGAGTCTGCTTCTCCCTCTCCCCCCTGCTCATGCTCACTCTCTCTCAAATAAATAAATAAAATCTTAAAAAAAAATTTTTTTTTTTTGCTTAGGGCAAAAGGACTTTAAAAAAAAACAATCAGCCTTTTGCTGGGGTCCAGGTCAGTGATGTGAGCAGTACGCTCGGCTTAATGGGCACCAGTGAGCCCTGCCCGTCAGTCACAGAGATCATGCAGCATTAGCTTCAGCTGGCTAGAGAGCACGCGGTTTCGCTCAAGTTGGCTGTAGACACACTCTGCAGCAGCACCAGGGAGAGGAAAGAAGAGGAGGAGAGGAAACAGAGGAGAAAGAGAAAAAGGGGAGGTTAGTAGAGTACCAAAAGTAAACTCTGAGACTTTTGACTAGCTGATATATGTAACATGCATCTGAAAGGCAGGGTGGATACAAGGAGGACTCAGACAGAGGGCAGAAAGAGTCAGTCAGGTGGTGGAAAGACCAACAGAGGAACAAAATAAAATATCTTGACTGACAAGTTGGAAGGACAACATTTTAAGAAAGAAAAAAGTATCTCTATCTCCTTTACAAAGGTATTTATTCCCTGGGTTGAGAAACAGACAAGTGAAACAGGGCTTGTAATCAGGGTTTGACAGAAACTGAAGGGAAAACCTGGAACATTTTCTGTAAAACCATTCAATGTAGGGGCGCCTGGGGGGCTCAGTCAGTTAAGCATCTGCTTTCAGCTCAGGTCATGATCCCTGAGTCCTGGGATCAAGTCCCTGGGTCCTGGGATTGAGCCTGCTCCTCCCTCTGCTTGTGCGCTCTTCCTCTCTCTCTCTCTGACAAATAAAAGAAAATCTTAAAAAAAAAAAAGCACTCAGTACAGTATTATGAAGGATAAATTGGGATCAATATCCCTATACCCATTCAATCCTACTTTCTAATGCTCCTTGTTGTAGGTGCTCAATGGTTAACCGATCTTAGGGGGCTATCCATCAAACCCCCACCCCCCTTTTCAAAAATCCTGTTAGGGCGGCAGCATGTCCAGCCCCAAGGAAGGTGAATCACGATTATCCTGTTCTGTTTTTCCAGACTCCCTTGCAGTTAGGGGTGATTATGGGATACAGTTCTAGCCAATGAGATACAGGGGGTAGTCTGCTGGAAGGCTTCTGGGAAAACTAGCTTTCTTTCTTGCCTTAACATGGATGTGAGGGTGAAAGTTACAGATTTCAACCTCAAGAGAGGGCCAAGAGAATTCACAGAAACCCAGCCACACCAGGCCACAGTTGCTCTAATCTGGACTTGTATTACAGGAGAAAAGTTAAGTCCCCTATTTATTTAAGCTATGGTTAAGCTGTTTCCCATAACCAAAAG